TTCAAGAAGAGTTGTAGTTAGATTTCACAGCAAAGAAGTTCAAACACACAGATAAAACCAAATTATTCCTGCTAGTGAAAAAAGGCAACCCCTTTTACCATAGCATCCAAACAAGGGTAAAAATGTTTTCTAACAGCATGAGACAACCAGTTCTAGCTGTTTCTTAATGCAAAGAAGAATAAGCTTGTTTTTTCCATATTACCTTAATGTCCATAATGGACACCAGCCAAAGCCTTCCTAGGTTTGGCAGCCCTCATAATAGAGTCAGTGCAAGCTATTTAAATGATTCATCTCAAAACCATGCAGCTGATCATCACACCTCCCATAACAAGAAGTAATTTTAAAAAAAAAATTGCTAAAAGAAAGCAAATAGGGAGGAAAATTTAAGACTCCATTTTTATCAGTATTAGTCTTCTAACAAGATTGTAGCCTTGCCTGCCAAAAATAAATTTCTAGGCATCCACTCTTCTATTCTGAACCTGTTCCTATTCCTCCTTTTTCTGAACCTGTGCCAACTTGTGTTGCTTTTAATGTTTTGTTTGCCAGATATTTAGAAGTTCAAGAGCTGTAAAGGTGGTCTCATTCTTCTTCCATCAAAGGGTAACTTTTCTGCTGGTTTCCTAGATTGGGCAAGGCTCACATAGAAAATGCAATACAGAGCTGAGACATTCTTCATGATTCTCTTTAGCCTCCAGTTCCCAGTTCCTCCCCTCCTTCCTCACCCAAATCCACCTCTTAAAAATTTTCAGAACTGCATGAAGACCCTTCTGTCCCACAGATTTGTCTGGTATGCGGGATCGTGGAGCTGGACCCTGGCCTCAGCACTTCAGTTCAGCTATGGAAGTGCATCCTAGCTGAGGCCAGTGCTCACAGAACACCGACAGAAGGTCCCCCTTTTCCATCACATCATCAGACCATGTGTTCTTCCCAGTTACAGGCCCCAGTGAATGTACCTTAAACATTCTGATTTCTGTTGAGCAAAATTAAATTTCAAATTTAATTTCTAAATTAAGATATTTCTAAATTATTTTATTCCCCTCATCCCTATTCAACAGAAACCCCATCACACACATTCTTTACAATGTCTTTTGTTCTTAGGACTATCACTGTAGAAACACAGAAAGGAAGACTTCCTTTATACCTTGTTTACTGCAAGGAAAAATAAACATCAGTGTTCATTAAGTCTGAAACATCATGCCCAGATCTTGTTGTATGAATATAAATAGGGCATGTCAGTGAACAAATAATAAAACTCTAAATGATGAACTGCACCAGCTGACTCCATTTGAAAAATCTGTCCCATAGTCTTTTGCAGGTACGAAACCATAAACAGTTTCATTTCAGTTCCTCTTAAAGAAGAAATGAGCAAAAAAATTACAGTTCAGCTTTGGAACTATTTAGAATGCAAAGGAAAAGATTTTTGTTTCATATCATGTTGCAAAAGCAGGATCACATGAAAATGCAACTCCCTCTCCTTTCACAAACAATGCATAGACAGTCCAGTCATGTTTTAAAGAAGTCTTGCTATAATACAGTAACCTGAATAGTCATAGATGCTGTGATACAGGCAAGATGTAGCTCATGATGTTCACTATTTTTCCTGTCATACACTGAAACAATGTCAACAAGATGGGGAATGAATGACAGAAAAGCAACAGTAATTTTGTGCTGCCTGGGAAATGTGGCACTGGACTGCCAGGGCTGTAATTTTCATTCCTTCCACCACCTCCTTTATTCTTTGGGCTATTTACTGAGCTTAGTGACTATCAAAAAAGAAAGAAAAAACCCCAAACTTCACATAACTCACAAATACGGATCAAATTCATTGACTAATTTTGATTCGTTTTATGGTAGTGCTACAAGTAGGTGTTCCTTCTTTTTACTTAGTGTACTTAGGGTACTCATCAGAGATGTAGCAGACACAAGCTCAAATCCCTCCTTTACCAAAAGGATCTGACTCTACATCTTCCAGGAAATAAAATCACCACCAGGCTGCTGAGCTTCAGAGGGGAAAGTGAAGAAGAATAGTGCTTTCTGCCTCTTTCTCACCACTGTTCACTTTGTTTACATATTGGCTGGTGTACAAATTAGGCTTCCTATGTCTTGGGCAAATATCTTAATCATAAAACCAGAAAGAAATGCTCCGAGTACCCTGTAACCAGGTGAATATTAAAAATTTGGGACAAACTAAGAAATTATTAGGAGACACTGAGTAGACACTTTCTTCCCCCGGCCTGCCTTAGAATAGTAACTTTGTGCTTAGGGCATTTTCTCCTGTAGTGCAAGGTACAGGTTCACGTCCCATCACCAGCCTAAGCAAGTTAATTCTTCCTGCATCACAGATGAACTCCTTTGTCCCTTCCCACTCCCCACAATTGGGTGAAATCACCCCAACCCAGGCCTGCAAGACAGTCTTTTGTTTTTGTCATAAGCTCTTTTAAATGGTGCTTGGAAAACGTGTCACTTTGTTCACTGAAACAAAAATTTTTCTTTTCTTTCCCTTTTTCAGGCCAAAAAACTTGAAAAAAAAATGATTGCAGATAAATCCAAAGTTAAGTGCTGATCTACAAATTCAGTCAGTGACAGAACCTGAGCTGTTTCCCCATGTGAGCAGCCTGGTCCATGAGTGCCAGCAGCAGTTTCATATCTGGCTGCCTTGACTGCAATGACTTCCACCCTTTCAGTGTGTAGGTTGTGCTCCACCAGCAGCAGTTACCTAAGGTAACCCTTGCGTACATTAAAGCATGGGTTCTTTTGCAACCAGTCCACTTCAAAGCCAATCTAGCTATGCTTCAGCAAGCCTTCAAGATAGATACATGCACTTAAAATAGACAATTGTGTTTAAGCTAATTCTACTTAATCTATAATTTGATAATTAAAATATATGCCAATGAGCCAAATTAACATAAGTGTGATTCAAATTGTTTAGGTCCACTTGCATTATAATGCTTGGACAACTGTAACTAGACTGATTTAGGAATTATTTTTTTATTTATTTTGAAGCAACTTTTACTGAAAAGGGTAAGGATTTAATTGTTTCAGGATATGACAAGTTTATAGCTGCCAAGTGCACAGTAGAAATTGAGACAATCCAAGACAAGCAAGAAAATTTCCAAACGAAATATGTGCTACCAACATACTTACAGATTACCTACAGGATTCCTACAGGACCCTGTCTTAACCACTATGGCACATGAATGAGGGTATTCTTCTGTTTTGGAATGTGTAGAGATTTATTTAAGATGTTGTAGTGTCCATTCTTTGGGCATAAAATAATCTCACTAGCAAAGTATACATGCCAAAAAGAAGAGTGAAGCCACAGAAAGCAGAACTATTTATCATACACTTGGTCTCGGGTTGAAATATCTTTTTTTAAGAGATGCTGGCAAAGGTTTTCTATAAAATGCAGTTGTTACATATTTTCAAACATTCCTGAATGATGCCATCCAGCATCACAAAAAAATTGAGTTCATGGCTGAAGTGAAGTTACTAAAAGTGTTCCATAATAATGAGACTACATTAGTCATAGTCACTCATCAAAGATACATAATAAACCAGCAAATCTTATAAAAACTAATCAGTTATGAATTTCATGGTAAGGCATTAGGAAGGACGAGAAAAAATTCTGAGAGCCAACAAGGGTTGCTTGATTGAAAAACTTAGGAACCACCTATCTAAAATACTATATAGATTAAAAAAGTAGGACATCCATTCTTAATTTTTGAGGCATATTAAAATACTCTAAAGAAAGTATATTTTATGCCCTGCACTCTTAAATAATAGAGGAAGATGATCAGATCAGCTTACATTTGTTTTCAGAAAGACAAAGTATTATATATTTATGAAGTATGGATTACTCTCAAACACCTTCTGCATAGGCACAATCACACCAGGAGAGACCAAAAAGGAGGGTGGGGACGTAACAGTGGAGGAAGAAAGAAGTTCAAGTCAGTGCTGAAAACTGGGCATGGACTGACAAGAGAGATGGGGAAGTCTGGGAGCCTTGGTCCTCCTCCCTTCCACTCCCATTCCTCAGACAAAATGGATACATAAGGTCATTCACACAACTCAAAGAGAACATCTGAGGCTTAGTGGGGTTTAGGGCCCTAGGGATAGAATTTCTAGTAAATGGTAAAATACCTGTTGTAGAGAATACTGTTATTCTTATTCTGTAGAGAGGAAGTCAGCAGAGGCAAGGTGAGCAATCTTCTCAAAGCCAGTGAGCTACTATCAGAATGAGTGTTCTTTATCAGTAACAATAAAAATGTGAGCTCCAGGGCTTGTTCACAAGAAATTTCTCAAATAATTGAGGCCAAAAAAGAACTGGACATAAGCAGTTACAAAAGGGGACGTATAGATATACTCCAAGGGAAAAGAAAAGCAACACACACAAATTGAAGAGCAAATAACTGCCCAGCAAAGAGCCTAAAGAACATACTTGTCGCAAGATTTATTCAACTATTTTATCTGAGGCACTGGTAATTTTAACCTACATGAAATGTTGTTTGAAATAATTATTCTGATTTCACAGTGACAATGTAGAAGAGAAAAGAAAAAAGGAGGGGAGGGAACCTGAGGACTAACTGAGCAGTAAAGAAAAAAGAGAAACAGTATTGCCTGGCTTTTGGTTCCAAGTTCATCCTTGTGGCCATACTATAGTCTGGAAAAATTCCAAGCCCTGAGAAGTGGAAACAGAACAGGCAGGTTGAAACATTAGGAATGCTTAGCAACTCCTTCATATTTTAACCTCATCCTTACACTCCAAAAGAGAAAAATATCACAGAGAAAAAGGAACTGAATTATGATTTGATTAAATAGAATGTAAACAGTAATTTGAAAACAAAGAGCGATGCAATTTGTTGCGTAGTCACACAACATTCCTCTTGGATTTGAAATTCACCGGCAGCAGTTCCACCCCTTTTGAAAGTACAGTCTGACGTCTGGGCTGTTCAGCCTGAGCAGCTGCTAGAGCTACAAAGCCTTTTTCATCCTCTGCCAGGATGGGAGTGATACAGCTTCCCAACCCATTTAGGATCCTGTGTTTTTCTTTTCAGTCTATCCTCGTTCTGCTTCAACAGAGTACTGCAGAAAGAGAACTGAAGTTTGTGGTTGTAGTAAGTAGATTTGTTTTCTATTTTGTTGTGGGGAATACAGGGAATTTGATATGGCTGTCAAATCAAACAAGTTGTGCAGTTGCTTTGCCTCTTTTTAGACAGAAGTAACTACTGCTGCCCTTTTGCTTACTGAGTTTAAAGATTTTACTTAAAGAAGCTAAAAATGCCTCTAGTTATAAGAATTTTCATCTTGTAACCCCTAGTTATTATTTGAAGATAACTGAACAGCTTAGGTTTGTGGTAGATGCATTAGTGCATAGGAGTTAAGACAGAGATCTGAGGTCTAAGTTCACCTGCTCTTGCTTAATTTAGCTGACGCTCTGATGCATAGCCTGAGAGCTGGTGATTATGGCCTGCCTTCTCTGTGCTTGGAAGCTGAAGCTTATGATGTTACAGAAGTTACTACAAAACCAAAAGTATTTTCCATTTCAGAATAACTGAATTATCACGGCAAGATACTGAGAAACAGAAAAGGGCATTTTTATGTAGAGATTTGAGATAGATGTTGCATTAACTGCAGTTAGGTTGAAAATGGACTGTAATCAGTTTTTTGCTGGGCCATTTCTTATTTTAAAGTAACTAGACACTACTTCAATGTCACTTTCCCCAATACCTCAGGAGAGGTTAATTCAATGAAACAGTTTGGATCGTGAATGTTGCATCATAGTCCTTTTCATTCTAATTTCTTTTTTTAGTAAGAGGTATACTGATAAAGAATAGTTAGTCTAAAGGGATATTTTCAATACAAAGTTGCGGGGATTGGAATTCACATTTATAAATAGGAGTTTTAAGATCATCTTCTTCCACCTTTCTCTGTTTGAAACATTATGTGCACATACAGATAACAGACAGAAGTACAGTGTCCAAAACATATCGTGTAGCTCTAGATAAAGTATTTCATATCTGCTTGTCTGTTGGCTGCATTGTAGATGTGCCACTTGGAGAGAGGCCAGAGTGCACAGAAAAAACCAGTTCCTACTACTCCTGCTGAGGCTTATTATTGCTCTATCAGACACTATACACGGCAGGGACTGAATGCTAATTACAGCAGCATTCTGTGTATAGCAATATACTTTAGTGTTGCTTCAACGATAAGAGGCAGTCAGCAAGCCTTGGAGAATTAACTCTTTGAATGGAAGGAGTCTTTTATTGAATTGCAGCTGTTATTGTGTTCTAACAAGGAATGGTTTCACAGAAGGAGTTACAGGAAATGCTCACCATTATGGAGACAGAGGCTTCCTATCCAAAATCAGCTGCTTACCACAACTATGCAGCCACCTTCCCCACCTATCAAAAAAAAAAAAAAAGATAGCACTTTATTTATTTATAGGGTAGCTTATCACAATTAATATTAAAATAATGGGTAAATTTAATTTAAACTGTCATCTTTTTATCCCTGATACTTTTCCTCAGACTGACCAATCTGCCTAAAAAGTTACAGTAGACTTAATCTTATTATCAACATACATCTCTTTTCTCAAGGCATGGTTTCTGGGCATGCAATTGAATTTGCCTTCTGAACTCACTGATTGAATTTTCATGGGAACAGAATTGCTAGCATAAATAAATAGGATAGGAGTTGGCCCAGAACATTTCACGGATATAATGGGATGTAATGGCTACAATCAAGGTAAGTCTAAAAGGCATCTTTCTGAGGTAATTTAATAGCCATTTTCCAGCTGTACTCTGTAAGTTGCTATGTTTTCACCTGAGAGTATTACTGCATTGTGAAAATGTGTCATAATGAGTTTTTCAAAACTTTCTTAGCAGAATTGCACAATATAAAATGCATCTGCAGGGGAGAAAAAACAGACAAATATTCCCTTTTGCTCACTTCTAGAATTGCGCTACGCTCTGGGAAAGTGCCTTGCTCTCTCCTCACACTTTCCCTCTTTGTGCTGATACTGGGTGCTTTGATTACTGGCTGCAAGTACTTTTGGCTGAAAAACTCTAATTGAAGCCAATTTGTCAAAATGCTATTTTAATTTTATCACATGTAAACATTAGCCTTCACCATAATTCTTGTGCACAGAATTTAAACTAGATGTATGAGAGGAAAATAGGAAATATGTAGGACCATCAAGTACTCAAGTAGAAATGAAATACTGATTTATTGCCTCTGTATAAAGAAGTTCTGACCTGTAACTTCTGCCTCCACACAGGCACTCGTTTCACCTGTCATATACACAGAGAAGTGTGGTTTCTGAGGTACTGTGATTTCATTATGTCTTTCTTCTTGTAACTCAGGATAGGAAGTGTTGACTGAGCATGTTATCTATTTGTCTAACCAAGCCAAGCCATCTGAAACCTTGACTAAACATGCTCAGTATTTCTGCATCAGTGGTTTCCCTGAACTGGCAGCATGACTGGTTCCATTTCTCTGTTGTTTCTTCATTCCTATTGCTGGCTTCAAAGTAAGAAATCTTTCTGTCTGAAGTTGAGTCTGTCAGTAAAAATGTTTGTAAGAGGCTCACTATTACTCAGAGACAGGTAATTCATTGCAATTCATGGCATTTCTGAATGAAGATTTTATATATACTACATATGCCATATTTTCAGTTGACCCTAACCTCCACACCAGTTTTTCTCCAATATGATTTTTCACCTGACAACAATGTAAGCAAATGCTGGCCAAAGTGAGTCATGTGGCCATTTCCATCTGAAGTGGTGCCCCTATCCATCTATTGCTTTTGAGAACTGACTGAGGTGAAGCACTTCAGATAGAAGTGCTGAGATTAATATACCAAACAGGTGTGCTTTGCTCTTCTTGTGTACATCCTCCTTTCCCTTCCTTCCTTCTTCATTTCTAGTCTTTTCACCTTTTATGATGCCTCCTTGTTCCTCTTCTCTCATCTTGCCATGTCCTATGTCTTCTGAAAGGTCAGGAAGGCAATCTGTAGGCCAGGAGTAATAAATGCTGCAGCAGACATATTTTTAAATGAAATTGAAGGATCAACTCCTTTTTAACAAAATCCAAATGATAAGTGTTGAGAAATACATATTGATGAGCAAGGCAACCTTTGTAGGGATATATTTTCCTTCCCTAACAGTATCAGGGGTTCTAATGAAAAAGACAAACTTTCAAATACACAAGCTCTTCTTGAAGTTAAAAAAAAGTCTCCTAAAATGTAGCTATGACTGAAAAAGACCCTTTTCGGTTAAGTGGTCATTCATAAGGTCATTGTTTCATTTCCAACTACAACTGAAGCAAGGTCATTTTCAGAAGTAGGTTTGAGGACAAAGACCAATTGGCTGAGAAGCTTAGTCCTTCAATTCCTAAAACCAGGGTTCTGCTCTTGGAAGTATTTATTTCTTTCTTGCTACTTCCAACTTAGTGTTAATATCATATTTATATGTCACTGTGCAATGAAGATGCAGAAATACAAACAAGGAACTGAACTTTTTTTCTATTTTGTGGGGACTTAAAGAAGCTGTGCTGCTTTTTAGAAGAGAACACCCTCCACTGCTTCCATTTCTTAAGGTTACAAAGAAAGAAAATATTTTTCTTTACATCTCCTGCTCCCACATATATTTGAAAATCTTTTGATCTTGATCTCTTTTGCCCTTCCACCAGTATTTAAAATCTAACACATTTTCAGTAATTTTTCACTAATAAAAAGGGCATTTTTATTGACCAAGTATTGATTCATTGCTACATATTGCCTAAAAAAAATCATGTCAGTCAATTTGAGCAACTGTCAGTTACTCATAAAAATGCTTTTCTGTAAAGCTGGATAATTTAACAAGAAAGTATGCAGCTACATGTAATTGGGAATTTAACCTTCATTCTTTACAGAGGCATCAGCTTGTCCAGAAAAGCTAATGAATCCTACCTGACACCTATGTATGTCAGCATGTCAAAACACCAAAGAAATAAGCAGTAACACAAAAGTCCTTCTCACTCATTTTTCTTGTATGCAACTGAATCAATCACCAGGCAATGTAGCTCTTTTCCTATTCTCCTGTTCACTAGAGGTGCAGTGAGAACCAACTGAGGTTCCAGATTAGTAAGAAAAGACATGTACAGATTCTAAAATTGCATAGAGAAGCAAAAATAAAATATTTAAGAAAGATCTTATGGACTACTTTGCTATACTTGAACTCAGAAAAAAAAGGTGTTTTTTTCTTGAAACTGTGCAGTTTCATGTTGATCTCATGTTGTTGATGATAGTGAAAAAACTCCTTGATTTGCTGAAAAACACTCATTTCAGGTTGGCCACATCTTCAGTGAAATTCAACTAGCAAAGCAAAAAAATAATAAGCAGTTTTCTACATGGTTCTAATGGTAACATCTACTCTAGCAAACTTTGCTGTCTATTGTAGAAAACGAACAGAGGGAGAAATCCAATTATCTTTGCCTTTAAAGGATAGTATTCTCCATCTCTGAAGTACCTGCTCTAGCACAGGTTTCTGCACATTAGTACAAAAAGTTGATGAAAAGGGTGTGTGTTGTAATTAAAACATTAAGCCACACTGCTTGTGTTTACTTTGGAAAACATAAACATAAAACACCTCCCAGTGGGAGTGGCAAACTAACCAGCATGTACAAACCTCTCTGATGTCTGGGCAAGAATGATGTGGCTTAATGAGGCAATGGAGAGTATTAATTATAAACAAGCTATATACCAGTGAGGTATTATAGAATAAATGTCATTTTATGAACAAATATACCATGCTTCCACATTGTCATTTTATTCTGCAAAGTCAGGAATGAAGTTGGTTATGTGAACATTGATACAAACAAAAGTAACTTTTACAACAGTTTGGATGAGCGTCCTGGAAGATTGTCTGGAGCCCTGTGAATTTGTATTCCAGCATTTCCTTTCATGTGAAACTTTTGTGGACTTCATTTTTCTAAGCCCATGACATACTTAGGGAGGGTAATTCAGAGTTTTTCAGAACTATTTAATCTAGGTTTGGCACTTCCTTTGTATGCTGGAACAAAAATACACAAAGGCTCATTTAAGGTTTCTGATGTAAAAATCATATGATTGAACATATCACACTAATATTCACCATGCTGGAGTGTCCAGGATAGGAAAGCGACCAAACTCTTTGCTCTCACTGAATTTAACAGAAAAAATATCCTACAGACTTTCAAAAATATTTTCATACATGTATGTGAAAGTATTGATAAATTTTAAGTAAGCTAACTGTAAATGTTTATACTTTTGCATCTTTATATTTTAGGATGATTGAGAAATCAAACATAAGATCCATGTGTACGTGGAATTACTTTTAAAGATACTGCTATGAAAAAAGCAGTTACCAAAAGTTTCAAGTGCCTATGCCAGAGTAATTAAATACTCATATAAGCACATCAGTAACTGGTTTAATATTCAGAGGTGTTGAGTGTCCAAAATTCAGATTTCTTGTCTAGGTGCCTAGTTATGGATGTAATCTCAGCGTTAACATCTTGGCTGACTAATTTTATGTTCTAGGAGGAAGAATCATCAGGCTCATGCCCACTAAATTGCTATATAATTATACCTATTTTTGTGTGTAAAGAATGTACTCCAACCCCACTTGACTAGTTTCTGCAGACTCTCAAATATTTTTATTTGAAAAATGGCATTGGAAGTATAACATATGCTTGACTTCTAGCTAGGTAAGAAAGGAATGTTAACAGTAATTAACTCGATTTTTTTTATTGGTAATGTTGTTAGGTTTTCCGACACGGTGACCGAACACCAGTTGTAAACTTTCCAACTGATCTACACAAAGAAAGTGAATGGCCCCAGGGATTTGGACAACTTACCAAGGTATGTTGACTTTCTTAGAAGAACTTATATATGCTACTAAAATAGGAAGTAGGCACTCCTAACATTGATGAAGTTCTAATGAGCATTAAGCCCTGGGCCCTGTGACAGGGTAAAGGAATGACACCTGCCCACCAGTTCAAGCAATAAGTCCACATCTCATCATTTGACTGGTAACCACCTACTCACAAAAGAAGGGAAGTCTTGCAGGAGAAGGCTGCTTCTGGGGACAATGTGACTTCTAATAAAGTTGCTTTCAGCCCAGAGTTTCACTAGGATGCACTGAACCTACTTCTTGCTCTGGCATTTCAACATCAAGCTGTAGCTCTTCAACTGTATTTGACATATGAAATTCTGGAACAAAGAGAGGCTAATGCATTTCCTAATAATACTTCATCATGATGCAGAAGAATGAATCAGAGACAGTTCAGCATTTAGTGTTTGAAGTGAGGCTTGAAAGATCTGTAAAATTCAGACACTCAAACAACACATTACTATTGCCAGCTACACAGCTTATGTTGTAAGAAGAAAAAAAGTTTCTGCTTTGGCACAGATTTTTTTTTAGAGCTTTTTGCTATCTTACTATCTTTTTAGCAACAGTAGTAAGAATGTACTTCTCTGACAGCTGAAAGTTAAAAATTTCAGCTCACAGCTTTGGAAATTAATAACAGAAGACAGTGTGCAATCTAAGACAAATGCAGGTGCACCGAGGCAAAGATGGAAGGACATCACTTAAGGCATGAAATGCAAGCCACAGATTTATTAGGTTGATCAAATAGCAGAGCAATGACAATAATAAATACTAGGTTATCAATCCACCTTTCTCAGCTGTCACTAACTGACATACATTGTGAAGAACAATGTTGATCATGAATAACTCCAGGAGCATCTACAGAGCTACAGCACTGTGGAAACAGTATTTGTATAGAATCAAGTGCATTGCCTTTCCTGTAGCACATGTTGGAGTCTTAGCATTTCAGAAAGTATCATTTTTTCATAGATATAAATGAGCATTTCTGTTAAAAATTCTAGATCACCTACAACCTATACAGTACATTATACAAATGGTTAATGATCACTGATTGCTGAAGACAAAAAAGAAAATAGAAAAGAAACTTCTACATTAAGATTCTCCAGTTACCTTAATCTAATAGTCATCCGTATGCTTGCCTCGCAGACTGGAATGCAGCAGCTATTTGAACTTGGACAGTACACGAGGGAAAGATACTCCAACTTTCTGAACAGCACATACAACCGGCAAGAGGTATATAGCAGAACTGTCTGGAGGACATTTCTCTGGCATAGAGGAACTATGGACTTGTGCTAGATAAAAGCACATCATCATATTCATTTCATTAATGGAAAAATTAAGGTAATAGAAGAACATTTTTGAAAGTCAGGCTTTTATATCAAGGTAAAAACATAGACTAAAGCCGAACTTTCAGCTCCTACGTTCACTTAGGGTCTTCCACTGCCCAGTTTTCCAGGACTGAACAGCTCCAAACCACTGAATGAATTGGAAATTTATACATAGTGACCCAATATTGTTCTACCTTGTTGAAAGGTGAATGCATATCCAGCCATGTGATGGGCCATGCTCACATACTTCATCCTGTAAAAGAGAGGTCTAACAGTTGTTTGGATGTGCTTGTCATACACTACAGATCCATCGTGGGGCAGATACCACTACCATTTTGGTCTATACATGAGGGATGCATTAATAGGAAGGCATAAAAGACTATAGCTTTGCCATGCTTCCAAGAGATGTTTATGGTTTTAAGTGCCTTAATTCCTGAGGTATAGCAGATGAATCATAGAATCATAGGATCGTTTAGGTGGGAAAAGACCCTTAAGATCATCGAATCCAAAAGTAAACCTAACACTGCCAAGTCGACCACTAAACCATGTCCCTAGGTGCCACATCTACACGTATCAATGTTCCTCTGAACCTCAGGAGATTGAGAGCTTCCTTCTTTTAAATCATGCTTTCTTATTCTTCTTAGTTCAGTCTGAGGGTTAGATTCCAAACTGAAGGATACTTTGGCAATTCCATTTATGCAAATGAAGTAGGGCCCTAGAAAGCTGAGTTATGGTTTCACTGGTTTGACTTCATGCAAAAACATAAAACTGAAAACGAGAAGCCAGGATTGATGAGTTGGGTAAAATTTCCTTATTATTTTTATTGTTTCCATTTTATTTTTAACTCATTGCCATTCTATCTTCAGTTTTACATCCAAAGTACAGATTATGATCGCACCATTATGAGTGCCCAGTCATACCTTTCTGGCCTCTTTCCACCAACTAGCAGCCAAATTTGGAACCCTGAGCTTCTCTGGCAACCCATTCCAGTTCATATTTTGCAAAAATCAACAGACCGGGTGAGTACTGGCTGGACACTTCCTATAACACCTCAAAATTTTCCAGAAGCAAAAAAGACAAAAAAGGGGGGGAAAAGTTTAAAAATATTTTCTATTCTTTTTGAGTTCAATCTAATAGAAAACATCAACTGCAGCTACTGGCTGACAAGCATGTCATAGGTCAACTGCAATAGCTGCATGAAAATCCTCCTTCTATAGTTGCAGAATACCTGAATTGTTGTCCACACTACCATTTTCTTCAAGGTACAGCTCTAACATTTCTCCTGGCAGGGACACTTTTGGACAGTATTATAGGGAAGTTGCCCTAAACCTTTATAGAGAACAAGTGCTTTTCTAAGCACCAATCAGCTAGACAGACCTCCCCTGCTTGGCAAGTTTGTTCCATAGTTTATTCAAGGAATGGAATTTTCACCAGCCACAGTAATGACCTCTCAATTATTACTTTCCTATTCTGGTAGCATTCAGGCACCCTAATTACAGGCAAGGGCCCTGTTATGCTCAGTGCTATACAAATGTTTAATGAAACCCTAGCACTTGCCTTGTGGTTCATAACAAGAGCAGACCTACTTGAATAATAGGTCTTGCAGAAGTTTTACTGTATGTAGCTCTCTCTGGCTGACTCAGGTTTAGATCATAATTTCACTGGCTTCTGTGACAAGGACTGTGTAAGGAACAGTGTGTTGAACAAGGATAAAAGTTACTGAGTGTAATGACAGAAAGGCTAATTTTCTTCTGCCTTTGAGGACAGAGTTGACTTTAAGGAAATGTATACAAAAACCCTATTAAATAACTGCCTGTCCAGTCACCAATATCAGAGGATGGACTCTGTCATTAGGGGATGGCTGCACCTGCCTCCCATTGGCATTCCTCCATTCTTGGAGGCCCTGCTTGAAAGCAGGTACATAGAGAAAGGGTTTCCACAAACTGGATGAGGCACAATGTGATTCAGCTTGAAACTTAACTCTGTCCTTCAACAGAAAAGAATACTGTCACTGTTATTTAAATGTGGGACACTAGGGGAAGTTCTTTCACCAGAAGACCAAAAAAGCATCAAAGTGGTCAGAGCTTTGGCCAAATAAAACCTCAAAGCCCTTAGGGTAATCACAGTGCAGTGCAATGACCTGTTTGGAGAAGGCAACCTCATTTGTAGGAATCTCTAGTACGTCATCACTTCTGCAGCTGCTTCAGGTGTGGGAATTGATGTTTCACTGAAACACACCTCTGCTGCAACTCAAAATTCCTGTTAAATATGCAAACCACCTGGAAAAAAACATTGTTCCCTTGTTAAACCAAGCAGATGTTTGAGGGTGTTGTCAAGCCCTAAATAACACAAAGTGGGAAACTGAGGCCAAATACAGTCCTGTAAAAAAACCTAATCACAGTTTATTTTTCAGCCACTGAGATCTATCAAGACCTGACAGGCAACAGTACTGAGTAATGCTTAATGAGGCCAAAGGGAGTGCCTTAATTAATATCACCTAGAGGGGGATAATTAAACCATACAGCAAAAGAAACATTTGTTATTGTGTAATTAAACAACATTCCCCAGTTTCATATTGCAGCTTTGAGCCTTCACCCTCCAGTGTGCTGCTGTTACAGAAAAAATGCACCCTTGGAAATCTGTCCAAGTGAAAGTGTGCTGGTGTGAGCTGGTGGCTGCTGCAAGCTTCACGTTGATAAATCAAAGAGAAAAGAGACGCACTGGAAGCGCAGTCTGCTAAAGCTCACCCCAAGACAGAGTAGACCTTCTTGCACATACATAAGCCATAGATATTAAAGTCAATTTCTCCACTGTATATTAAGTCAGTTCCTTGAAATTATTTGGTTATAATATTAGCGCTGGGTAAAAAATGCTTTAGTGGTGTGACATAAAGTGATGAACTAGCACAAGCTTATTTAGTTCATCATAACTTTCTACTGACACTTTATGCTGGATCAGGTATCATTTGTCCTTCTGCAAGTGGCATAAAGCATATTTGCCAAAGCACAGTTTGATGGATGCATACATATTGACACATGGTTCAGATCAAATATGTACTATCAGGTGATATCTTAATGCATAAATTTGCAGTTATTAAAAGTGAATGATACCCCTAAACAAGAACAGAGCCATTAGGCTCATAGCTTTTTGATATTTCAGGAGCACAGTTTATTTGTTTTGAGTTCTGTCCATTAAGTGGTACTTAAAATGCTTACCATAATATACTGGTTACCTCCAAAGAGATGAGAGCAGGATGTGTAGATGCAGAAGCAATTCAGATTCCAGTACCAGGTGGAGTCAAGCTGCAGAAATTAAGAGGGAAACGGTAGCTTTTTAAATTTCCTGATCATGGATCCTAATCCATTTCTCAAAGCAGTCCCCTAACATATATGCATAATTGCTTTTTGCCAAAATCAGTTAAACCGAGGGAAATTAAGCTATTATAGCCACAAGTAGCTACTGAAAAGTCAAGTTACCACAGTACATTGCTTATGTTAACTGAATTCATGAACAAGGTACCCAAACAAACCATTATGGAGTAGCTGTAGCACAGCCATGAATCTATCTAATAAATATTACACCAGCAATCTCAGCAATAGAAAAACTAGAGTTGTGTTGATTAATTCTAGAACTATTCTAAGTTTTACTTCTCTTGTTTCAGAGGCTGCATTTTCCTCTGCCTGACTGTCCCCTTTTTGATGAACTTCAGAATGAAACACAAACATCTAGTGAATTTCAAAATAGAATACAACCATACATGGTAAGACAAAATAAAAAGGAAAAGGCAAAAGAAAAAGGAAAGTAACTAATATGTAGAAGTTATGGAATTGCATTGTTTCCTTTTGATAAAATTAAAACATAAATACATGCAAAAAATTTTTTTAAAATCCTGAGGACTCTCTTAAAATAAGAAATTTAGGCCAAAATGATCAGAAAGTATGTTTTATATGCTTATGCATTTCTCATACTTTTCTATATTAATCTTTTGAAATGTGAATTTAACATTAATTTTCTGAGACTATTTGGAGCTGCATATAATTAAAGTTCCATGATCTGAAGGGAGAAGAAATTTCCATTTTTACAGGGTAGCACAAAACCAGTTCTAAAAAATCTGATAAATTTTAAACTTGGGAAGGTTTATGCCTTTGTGCTGTGATTTTCTGAAGTTGACACTGCAACAGAGAACTAAAGCAAGCCCAACCAGGCGAACACTCGTACTTACGTAAATTTCTCTGAGATGCATTTTGGATCCATCACAAGACATGCTTCTGTTTTGCCCTGACACAAATCTTCACAGTCAGAGATTCAAAATTTCCCATTCCAGTGCTGCAGCAGGATGTAGGTACAGGGATGGCATACCTGCCTCAAGCAACCATGTTCTTCTGGATAATAATTGCTCTAGATAGTAGTTACTGCTGCTCTCTTGTTTGCCAACCATGCACTTTGTAATAGCACTACTGCACAGATAAAGCAGGCATCTCATGTTCCTCATACCCTGACTGCACCTGTACACATTCTCTCAAAGTCACTTCAGACTTACTGCTTGGGCTAAACCCAACATTTTCCTTTTTTGGTTTAATTTTATCTTTCTGCTAGCTCAGCTACTCTGGTCAGCCTCCCTCACATGCAATAGGAGATGAGTTCTGACATCACAGCTATCCTCTCGCTCAGCTACTAGTATGAAACATGTAACATGGGAATAAAGGATATTAAGGAGTCCCTTTATTCTTCTGTGGTAGCATGTAGCAAGAATCCCTATGGGAATTGTAGTGGAACTATTACTTAGATATTCAGCTCCCTGTCAATGGCAGAAGGAAAGCCTAGTTTCCTTTTCAATTTCTTTTTGCCTCATCCTGAATATTTGCCTCAGCTCTCTTTAATTTTCTATTTTCTCCTCATCTTTTTCCTCATGTTCCTTTTCCTGTAGTGCCTTCCTCTTCCTTATATCTGAAGGTTTGAGGTGACTGAGGTAGCCTCCTGGAGCAGTCAGAAGAGGGAGAGAAGAGTGCAGCAGAAAGAGCACCAGACTTATCCATAGCAGGGCTGAGAAAAAGCAGTGTCTAAAATAGAGATCAGTACTTTGAAATAGTTACAAAATGAAATCTGGAACCAAAATCTTCTGCTACAAGGGTTTCACCTGTGTGAAGTTAAACACTACTGTGTTACCAGGTTGGGTGCTAATGAATCTGTATGCATATATGTTCCATATGTATTGACCATTTGTGGTATATTCTTCACTTTTTTTCCCCCCAGGATTTTTTACAAACAGTGGCAGTTAACACAGGACTTGAACTAAATCATCTTAAAATACTGGACAATTTCCAGCTCTGGAATACATATGATACTCTACACTGTGAGGTAATAATAAGACAATAGAGGTCAGGAAAGAATATAACTCCTAGTTGGGTTTCAATTAAACCATGACAATGTGGTTTCATAGGAATGAGTTGCCTTCTCTCCTGGATTTGTTTTTTCGTTGTTTTTTTAATTATTATTTGAATTTAAGTTCTAGTTTAGCACATTGGTAAAAGATAACCCAAAAACATGGTTTACAACTTGGGAAACTGTTGTTTCCATGTGATGTTTTATTCTGAAGCACCAGTATCAAAATCCATTCCCTGTATTCCCTCATTTTCTTTCCCAATACGCTGCTGTAGAATTATTTGAGCATGCTGCCTAGGACATATTTATGATTTTTAACAGGAAAATGGAATTATTTGCTTTAGCCTATCAACAGCTAAACATCAAAATACTTAGATGTTGAAAATCAGAGGTAAGATTATGATCTATCAGTTAGAAAAATTAGATGATGAATTCTACCAGTGAATAAAATCAGACTAGCCTCAAGCATGGGATGATCCCATTTGGCCCCAGTCATTATCAGCAGCACATGAAGGCTGTTGAACATACCCTCCACACACTGAGGCACTTAAACACTGTAAGACACTGTCACTCTTACATGAGTGGAGAGTGACACTTTTCTGTAAATGGCCAGTGATGGAACTGGTATCTGGACAGCTGTATGGAGAAGGCAGGAAAAGTTGAGGCTAGGTTATACCCAGAAGACCCAGAAGAAAAGAAGAGGATAAGACATATGTCTGCAATCTTTCACACTCACAAAACCAAAACCATGTATTTCTATAGCAAGAACACATTATACCTACAAGGAATCCCCTTCACACAGGTGTTTCCCCTCTTCCCATTCACCCACTTCTGGTTGATCCCCATTCCCACAAACTGTATTTCAGGGCATGCTCATGAGTGAAACCACACTGGGCAAAGAATTGCAGGATAGCCTCCGAGAGTCTAAATGTAGCAGTGTGAGGCTGGGCAATAGGATGATGGAACCCAGTAGAAGAAAAAAACATTGTTTTGTTTTCCTTTATCACTAGGCTATTCACAATTATACTCTCCCTGTATGGGCCACCAAAGATGTAATCGACAAGCTGGAAAAACTGGCAGAATTGTCCTTACTGTCGCTATTTGGGCTTTATAAAACAGAAGAGAAATCACGACTACAAGGAGGTAAATCAAAAAATGCATAGCTCTCAGAAAGGAGGAGACAATGCTTATGATAACATGCAACATCCTGTCACCTTACTCATGCAAAGTTATTGATACAGAACCTTGATTTGTAACTATGGACAGTGGATGCCATATTAAGCATGAAAATATGTGCTGAACGCTGGCATCTGCATGGATGAGATACTGAAACAAGGTGTGAACATTAATGTCTTTAGTTATCCCATAGTTTTTAAGAGATTAGGATTTTGAGAAAGCTTATAGAAATCCAAGGGAAAAAATGAAGCCCTCACGGGTATGATCATTACTTGTCTGATATTAGGTTAGATTAAATTTAAGTTCTGTTTCTCAATGTTTATTCTAATTATTTCTTGATCTTGTTTTTCCCTTTGATGTCCTGGTTATATATTGTGTCAAAACCTTGGCAACACATTGGTAGCTCTCTGAGAGACTGATATAAAGCTGCTCCAAAACAGTCTGATCAGAATAGAAGATAATTCGTGTTACGTCTATACTGCAAGAACTGGGACTACTGCTTAGCTCCAAAATTGGGGCCCATGGGCTATGCACATTCTGACACTACTTCAGGACACAACCCAGACATTTATCATATGATCCCCAGGTGTCCATCAGCAGGAAACCCAAACAAGTGAGCTTGAATATCTGCAGGATGGAGCATTTGGGGCTTGGCTTTGTAATGCACCTACCCTGCAGTCTAGACCTAGGCTAAGAATTATTAGCAGCCTCATCATCTTGGCATATACATCACTGGATCAAGCCATATAGTAATTACAGGCTCAGACCTGCATTAAAGCCCACTAGCAGGTAGCTGGCCGTATCTTGTGGTCAGGACTTTTTTTTTCTAGTGTTCATGGGCATACCAGTTATGCCCTTTTTCCCTCAAATGGTATAAATTGTGCTACAGGGAATTTCTGCTGCCCTTATCCCATTGGCTTTAGAATATCTCTGGTCTGGAGAAGGAGTACAAAAGAGCTTTAGAAAAGTGAAGAATTGATACTGTGTGACTTGTTGGAAGTAAACAGTTAAAAATATTTCTTCAGCATCTAGAGAGGAAGAGGCTAGCACAGCTGTCATTATTGCAACACTCCAAACAGACAAAAAATGATGGAGAGTTGGTCTCAGCACAACAGAACTGGAAGTGTCATTAGCCCCAGTTCTCAGGACAGTTCTAGATGATTTCCTGTAAATCCTGCCTCTTCACTTGACCTGGATGATGAATGATATATTTCACCTCTGTAATATCTTCTCTCTAGTTATGAACTTTTAGTAAGCTAAAAAATGAGTATGAGGCTTGAGTAGATGTCTTCCATTTGATACGCAAAATCTTTTGCCTTTTGGTTTCTATGCAAATGTTATATCTTCATTTTCTTCTTCCTTGTTCCCATCTTTTTAAGGTGTCCTTGTAAATGTTATTTTAAATAGTATTAAACAAGCTGCCAATTCTTCAAAACAAAGAAGAATGGAGGTCTACTCTGCAGTGAGTATTTTCATCTATCATAAATCTTGCTATGATTTTACCAACAAAAGACCCTGAAAGAGAATAATCAGAGTCTTCCTGTAAGTTAAATGAAAGAGTAATACAATACAGTTCAATTCAGCTAACAACCTGAACACCAGTACGTACAAGAACATAGCAGGAGCATGGATCTCACTTCAGTTTCAGTCAAATTGTACTTGGTAAAGAAAACTATGTATTTTATCATGCATTTTTTCTGTAACTTAATGGTGGAGTTTCTATATGTTGCATCTTTCCTTAAGTGCTCCTGACCCAGAGATGCTGGCCCATAGCAGAAACCTCCAAACCCTTCCTCTGCTTAGAAAGGGATGATACTGCTATGGATTCTTTTTTTATTATTATTTTAGAGGATGCAGAGGGCCATTTGGGTCAGACCAGGATCCACTTAGCTCATTCATTATCCCGTCTCTAACAGTGGCCAAGAGCAGGGAAGAATGTGAGAATAATGCCAGCACAGAGTGATGCTTCCCCTGATACAACCTTCCAGCAATCTGTGGCTTAGGGACTTCCTAAGATAGAATCTGTGTCTGTGTGTTGACTGGATCTTGACAGACTTCCATTAATTTATCGAATCACTTTTAAAATGCATTTATACTTTTGGTTGTGCAACATCCTGTGGCAATGAATTGTGTGTTGAAAGAAAAAAAGTACTTCCCTTTTTTTTTTGAAACCTAATACTGATTTAGCTCCTTCCTAGCATTTATATTGTGAGAAACAGGGAATAGTTATTCTTTATTCACTTTTCCTGGGTCACTCATGAATTTACTATTTTCTGTCACACCTCTTCCATCTTTCCTTTTCCAAGAGAGTCCTACCCTATTTAATCTTTCCTCGTATAGAAACCACTCAATATCTTAAATCTTTCTTGCTGCCTTTTCTATGTGTTTTCTAGCCCTACTATATTCTTTTTGAAAAGGAAGAAGTGCATCCAGAATTTTCACTGCTGTTTTAATGCCTTGAGGCCAAGTATACTCCTATTTTTGAAACTGATCAGTCTAAAAAGTTCCAGATCCTGACTAATAATGAAAACATAGCTGTTAAACTATAATGTAAATAAGGCTAGCAAATATGTATATAAAGATGCTTGCAAAATTTAGGCATCAAAGTGTTTGGACTTCTTTCCTTCAGCTCCTCCTCCTGGGATACCCTGCAAGAGGAGGGCTAATGGGGAGGGGAAGAAACTGCAGGTGGGTGGATAACTGATTCCATCAAAATAGAAGCCAAACTGAGATTTTATTGTATAAGTCCAAACAAGAGGAACAATAATTTAAAAAGTTCTGGAGTGTGTGTGGAAGCGAGAATAGTTTTTGTACACAACTATTTCTCTGGTATACTATCTAAAACCAGTACTTGTATCTTGAAATGCCATAGGATATACTACCTTATACTGCCTTAATCTGACCTTAGAACCAAAAAAGCTCCTGAAGGAAGGAGTAGCAAAATGCACTGAAAAACTAAGATTTATTACTCAGACCATATCTTGCTTTCCCCCAGTATCTCCGTCTCCAAAATTTTGCCAGATGGTGTAAGACACATACTGCAGTAACTCTTTGGAAATGCCCCCTGCTGTCTGTTGTAATCTGTTAACATGTTTTTCCCAATGGAGAATATACTGAATATATTTTTATGGCCAAATTTACACAGGTTACGTTTTATCTTGATTTCCACTCCCTCTCTACTCTTGTCTCATTACTCTGGATAAATGGTAGTTAACTTAACTGACTTTTAAGGTTGGATTTTTCTTTTTTTCCAATAGCATGACACCACAGTTGGGGCCCTACAGATTGCTCTCAATATTTTCAATGGAAAACTGCCACCATACGCTGCTTGCCAGTTTTTTGAACTCTACCAAGAAAGCAGTGGGCAAGTATCTTCTTATCTATGCAAGAACAAGGAGTGTTTGCAATTTGGTTCCCCCTTCCCCCAAATCATTTTCCTTTCAAATACTGTGAGGAGATACAAATGAATTTTAAACTGATACATAACTAAGCAGTCCATAGACACAAAGTTATATTAAAACTAGAAAAAATTACGTTTGCTGGATGTGCATGTACCTGTGTACTTTGAAAGATGGGAAGATAGCTGGCCTTACCAGCTGGAAATAAATGGTAAAATAATTTTTCCTGATTCTTGAAATGATAGCAACAACATTTCCAAGATATCTCATAAATCCCAAGGTAAATCAGTTGGCTTAGAAGAGCCTGGTGCTGTTGCCATTCAAGCAGCCTTCAGAAGGACCTTTTGAGCTGACTCGTGATCTGTGCAGTAATGTAACCAGCTTTGGCAAAGTGGCCTTTCACAAAGCCTCCATTCTCAAAGAACAGGTTCTAGAGTAGGATGTTAGAGCCTGTCTCCACATTCTGTCTCTAAATAGGAAACCTTCTATTTAAGAACCTTTTTTAAAAAATCTTTTCAATGTTGCTAATCAGGCGATATAGCATTGAAATGCATTATCGGAATGACTCTTCAAAGGATCCTTACCTACTCACCCTGCCAGGATGCACCTCTTCTTGTCCGCTTGAGAAGTTTGCTGAACTAGTTTCTCCTGTGATTACAGAAAATTGGTCAAAAGAATGTGGGAAGAAAGACAAAATGAAAGGTAGTGTAACCGCTCTGTATTTTCTACATAAGACATGGAGGCACAAATTGTATCAATGGCTCCAAACTTTGTACCTTTCACACAATAGATTTAGATGTCCACCTTTAACAAGTGTGGACCAGCTTTACTATGGACAGGGAAAGCTGATAGAAATTAAATTTCTCTGAAAATGTAAAGAGTAGACTTGCCCACCAGTGTGAAGGCAGTGCTATTATTAGCAGACTCACATAAGGAGCTACCTAAAGGCCATGGCCAAAACTACAGCTCTGCTTGTTGAAAATGCCTGACAGAAGTATGGATGTGGGTGCTATGCAAGGAGTCCTGTGTATGTTGGACACATCAGACCTTCTGTAGATGTAAAGCAAAAATGCCTTGCACATGCACAGTAAGATTGATGCATCTGTATTTCTGGCACAGGTACTATGCATTGAGGATACCTTAACCTCCACTGTACAGACAGAGAGCAGCTGATCCATGCAGATATAGGAGCTATTTGCCTCGGACTACCAACAGCTGACAGCTGATAACCTCTTCCTGCCTGAATATTATTTCCAGGAGGGGAGTGAAGGGCAAGGCAATACATGCTCCTTTCCAATAGTCCTGGTATTTCCCCTTTCCTGCATATATTCAGTATTTTGCTGATCCCTGATGAAACTCCTCATTTGCATTAACTATACATGGTCCCTCTTGCCCTGTGAAAACATAGGAGTAAGATTTACTCATGCACAGGAAGCTATCTATGCATTTCCAGGACTGAAGTATATGTTTTTATACTTAAGTTGCATATGTCAGTAAATGCAGGCCATGTGATCTTGCCAGAAATATGAACAAAATGTAGCTATATTTCCATTGTACAAATTTGTAATTAGACTGTTATCTCTGTATCTAAAATGATATACATGTATGTCTTTCATTAAGTCCCTTTTCCTTTATTGTTTTTCCTTCACAGATATTTTTATCGGATTTGACGTTGCTGTTGGCTTGTTGTTCATTTTTGACCTTGTACTGCTTTACCTCCTTTATCATTATGGACGCTGCAGGCGCAGAAACAATTACCAAGACATTTAACGGGGAGGTAAAGAAATGAAAGAGAGAGCAGCTAGACATCAAGCAATCCTTTAAGTTGCTTATATCCATCAGTTTGCTCTGGCCAAATTAGTCTCCAAAGCATATTCAATAAATTTGAAGAGCTGAGGTATCTGTGGCCTAGCTCCTGAAAGACTAAACATCTGCAGTGAGAAATACTGTAGAAATACATTATTGTTAAGAATTTACTTTTGTAGGAGGATGGAATTACTCCAATTTATATCTTTAGGTTTTCTACTACTATTAATCACTCTTAAGTCAACCAGTGGGGTGAAGGGATGCTATTGCCTATGCTTTTTTTTTTTATATCGCCTATTACCATTTAGCCCTCTGCTGCTCAGTGAGTCTTTCTTGAAAATTGCAGCCTGTAATATTTTCCTTACTTCTTGTAAATGGCTGTTATTTTGTTGATGCACAGGAAAATGTTTTCAGTGAGCAGAAGCTGCAATTACTGTGTTTAAAAGATTCATACCAGCACTTGGGCATATTGTTTCTGCATTTATTCATGCAAATCTATGCATGAGTTTTGACCTCAGCCTTCAGCTAATGAAAGTCTGCAGCCTGCTTTTCAGAGGAGTTACACTACTACAGCTCTCACTGAAATTAGTAGAAACTGGGGGGAGCTCTGTCACATATGCAGGCATCAAGCAAGAAGCTTAGTGCAACACTATCTTGGTCAGTGTCCACAACTTCAGTAATATGGATAAGTAAATACATTAAAATCTATTTTCTGTTGCTATGCTGCTTTCCTATTTTTCGGAGCTCCCAGTCATGAATGATCCTCTGCCCTGCATCTTTTTTCTACAATGCATCTGTTCTCTGTCCTGCTTCAGGTCCCTTCCATAATCTTATTTCTTTGAGCCACTCTTACAATAATCCCTCAAGCTATCATTCTGTTCATCACCTTTCACTTTAATTTACAATAAATACTTTAACTCCTTGCTCTGTTCAAAATCCCTTATGTTAGCAAGACATGCACTGAAAGTAAGAAAACAATGATTCTGCTTTTTGTATGTTGATCTCTTCTGTGCAATAGATTTTGTTTAGAATGTAAGGTCCTAAGGGCAGGGTATGTATTTCCATAATTGCTCACTAGTATCGTAAGCACTAATATTGCTGTATAAAATACTGCTTATTGTCATATGTTTCAAGGGCTGAATCAAGATTTTTTTTATCCTGTAGTCCTGCAGAGGATACTGTGAATTACATTACCACGGAGAAGCCTTTTTAAAAATCAAGACAACTATACAGATAGGTGCCAACAGCAGGTTCAGCCCAGCAGATATATAATAAGCAATCATGTGCTCAAGCTAATGGGTCCTGTTGAGGTGCAGAAGTCTAGAGAAAGCTGAGAGATGGAGCCGCTTAGCTCAGGCACAGCATCACATCAATGTGAATACACTGCTTCTGGACTGACTTTGACTCACATCTGTGGGTTGCAACTTGGAGCCCAGGAGCTTGGGTCAGCTACCACTGATCTAGAGATCAGCCCTTAATATTACACATTTAAAATGTGATTTAGGTAGATGTATTGATATTAAATAGCATAAATCAAACAGAATAGCAAAGGTTTGTGGAAATATAGCACTTTCCAAACATCATTGCATTTTCTGGTAGTAACTTCAACTACTGAGGTGTCCACTTTTTGAAGCAGTATTTCCCACTCAGTAAAAAGCTTTTACTAGTATCCCTGACATTTCCATTTTATCTGTTTTAGGAAATATCATAATCAAGTGATGGATTTGATTCTTACATGGTAAGGATCTTTTATTGTATAACAATTCGGGGCAAAGCTGTCAAAAAGATGAAAGGCTATCCTTAAATCACATGTTTTGGATGTACAAGCTTCAGATTGTAACTAGTAGTTCTATCCTCAGTGCAAAAACTTAAAGGAATGTCTATATTGCTGTCAAAAGCATTACAGCAGTTCTAGGAAACAAGCCTGAGCTGTCTTGGTTACTATTAGCAGTGTACTGACAGTGGGCAAAAGCTCAGGACAAACTGCAAAACTGACCCTGGCTCCGGAATATATATATATATATATATATACACACACTCAGTAATTACCTGATACTGAGCTCTGTATTACCATGGCCACAGCGCTGCTGGTACTTACTTAAGGATAGACTGAGTATGTCTTTTATTAGAGGCAGTCACATGGTTGACAAGTGAAGATGTATCGTTGACTGATAATGTGCAGTAAGAACTGGTTTTGATATATTAGGCAGGCAGTCAGTTGCACTCCACAAGAAGTAGAATGGGGCATGTTTTCTCCAAGATTGCTTGTTACAAAAAAGAAGTACATCCAGACAGAAAGTAAAATGTGAAGTGTCTGAGACATCTTTTGTGGTTTATGCTACTCCAAGCCTAAGCTGTTACAGAGAATTTCAGGAGGTGAGGCAATTCTAGCTGCGGCAGGAGCTGTCATGAAGTAATTTTATTGTAGGGACACCTTCTTGTTAACACATAGTCATACTTGAAAATGTCCATGCACTTCCAGAAAGGATCCATTGAACACAAGTTACACAGAATGTAATGGATAGGTTCAGTTGATGTAACCTAAGAATTAATGAAGGTACAATAAAGATGTAATACATTAGTTATGTAGGCCCTGAATCTCATTTACAGTAAAGGTGCTTTGTCTTGCTGAGATTAAATCAAGTATAATTTCTCAAGTGGAGTAAAAGGTTGTAAGTTTCAGACAAGCTTATGGCTTTTTTAATTTTTCAGCCATATTTTCAATTTGCTTAGTATAATCTGCAGACTGTTTGTGATTAGAAAATATCTTGTCTCCAAGCAACTTGTAGCACTGCAATAAAGTACATTAAAGAAACAATTCAACATTTGCAATTGTATGTGAGTGAAAAATAATGGAGTTTTCAGTATGCCTAGAGTTTCCAGACAAAAGCGAATGTTTGGGTTTGCTCCTTCTGTAAGAACAGATTTTTAAAACACTAACGCTTTGACATGAATAACACTAACGATGACATCAAGCTCTTCCATTTGCCCTCTAGCACTGACATCATTTGCCCCTACGATAATTAGGGTAGCAACTAGCAGCTCTGCAGCAGGGTTTTCTGGTGCATATGGTAGACAGCAATGCATACACAGCACTTTCCAGCTCAGTCAGTAACAACCTCCTCTTATGGAACTGATTTCATTCTGGAACTTGTTTATTCAGAGTCCTGAAGATCGTACACACTGGGTCAGCACAGCATAGCTATCTGACTTCCAGAGTAACACCAGCTCAGTCTGGAGCATACATGTTCATTTGTACCTGTAATGTAGGGACATTTGATCCAAATGATATTATTTCTTCTCACTTAAATACATTTTCTTAGGTATGGCAAGATACAGAAAACAGAATAACAAATACACTCTATTAAAAAAAAATAAATCTGGTCAGTCCAAAAACTCCTGAGTTTGGATAAAACTCCAAAGGACAAAACTTATGTTTCTAAATTTTTCTCCACAAACAAAAAGTGCTAAAAAGTTCTACTTATGAAGAAGAAGAAAGATTTAAAGTGATGGAATTTGAGAGTGATGATGAGGGTAGAGGCTTGCTTATTCTTAGGCATATAACCTTGGCCCTTAGGAATCCATGTTGAGGTGATGTCAGCAATATTGCATAGGATTGTATTCTTGGCATGAAATAGCTGAAACAACTGTACTCCTTAAAGCTTTTCTTATAAAGAAAGATGGGGGTGGAAGGTAGACATCTACCTACAAAGGGCTAGCTTTATTGATTTAGACAACAATGCTTCTTCATCAGTTGCCAAGTATTAACACTCAAATAAATAAACATGAGTTGCTACTGAAATAATAGCAAATCATTTGAACTATTACATTACATGGTCTCTTCTATGACTAGGCAACTTCATTTCCAAAAGGATTTTAGCACTGGCAAGGCCTGAAAAACCATGTCTAAGAGATCAGATATAGTTGGAAAGACAGTTAAAAAGACATGTCCAAAGTCCAGTTCTGCTAATTTCTGTAATTTCTCTTAAAGTACTACTTCCTCTTCTGAGACTGATAGTACATTGTCAAGTTCGTCCATCCTGCAGTAATCTTTTAACAAATCTGTAGGGAGAAGAAAGGTACCATTTATCAATTCAAAATAGATAGTGGCAAAAGAAAATGGTCCTGACTCCATCTCTGTTTCTCTATATTTATCCAGAGTCATGTCCATGTCAAAAGAAGGTAATTTCTCTGTGCTCTGGTTATGGCAGCTAAAGCTTTTGCCCTCTTCCTATAGGGAGCCCTTGACTTCAAAGGACATAGCAATTCTGCTAGCTCATCTACCCTATAAACTACAGAAAGAAAGGTTGTAAGGTGCAGGATGATCGTAAAGCCTTTTCTTGAGGAAGATGAGAATTAAAAGGATATATGGACTCAAAACCCTGTAACTTAAGGCCCAAATAGGTAAGCAACAGCATTTGGATCAAGAATTACAGGAAGACTAGAAAAATTCTGTAATACCCACAACTACTGAGCTGACTGAGGACATTTCTAGTACTTCTTGGAAGCGGAGCTCCTCCATTCTTTCCATTCTAAGGCATTCTCAGAGCTTCTCTTGGCAAAGGCAGGGTATATTAAACTGCACTATGTGGTGGGTAGCCTATGTCTGGCAAGTTATTGAGTTTTCTTCTCTTGTATGACTATTTGCACTTACGTCTGAACTACTGGTAGGACGGAGGTGAAGGGCAACAAATACATTAAACTGTAGCGAGCAATACAAGCTGTTGTTGCTTAGTCTTACACGTTTTAACCACCAAAACTATTTAGTCATAGATGTGAATCAAATGGATCTTTAATCTCCTCAACTCTTCATTCTAACTACCACACTCAACCTTAGTGTATGTACCAAAGCACAGTCTCTATTGATTTAGATATCTCCCTTTCTGACCACACATTCAGTAATAGCAATATTGTAAAAAAGCCATTAGCCGAGTTGCAGCTATCTTTGTTGGTCTGGTTGTCTG